GAGACCCAGCAAACTCGCCGCACGGGTGAGGGGCCATCATCCCCAGCGTGTCCCTTGGGAGCCCCAGGACCTCGCACTGGGGGAAACGGTGGCCAGGAAAAGCCAAACCTTTCCTAGGGTGCCCCCTCCCCTCGCTGGGACCCCGGGCACAGCTCAGGATGGTGGTGCGGGGACAAGGGCAGGTTTGCCGGGTAGCACCCCGGGGAGGGGCTGTCCCTGGCCACGACCGCAGCTGCTGGCTCAGGCAGCGAGGCTGGGAGAGCCTCACTGGGGCTTTGCCAGTGCCACCGCCAGGCCCGCACCGCACAAATCCCAATGCCGAATCCCCCTGGATCTGCAGCCGCTCCATCCCCCCGTGACACCCTGGCTTAACACCGCCCTAAAATCCTGCCAGCGCCAGCAGCGGCCTGGCCACCCTCCGGCGCTTTCCGGCATCCGGTGGTCTCACTTAATGCCGGGTTTAAATCACCTTTGTGGCAATTGCAGCTCATTATTTCGCTTTTTATCCGGTGAGGATGGGGGGGGATCGGGGCGTCCCGCCCCCCGCAGCCGCCACCGCTGCTTTGAAAGCATCAACTCCCCCCAGCGCCGGATGGGATGTGTGCGCCAGCTCCCCGAAACGCTGGGCAAACCGGCTGCTGGCCCCAGGATGAAGGTCACCGGCCGGCGTGCCAACGGTGCCCAGATTGGATGGGATTTCGTGGCACACATCGGTGCCCTGCCAGGGGAGGGACAGCGATGGGACGGTCCCCTGGGGGATGAAGGCTCTGGTTTGGGATCCCAGTGGCCACGCGTGTGCCGCTGCGCGGCCGGGCCGGCGACAGCAGCTGCCTGGGGACCTGCCCACCCACCTGAGGACCCCAGAAAGAGAGCGGATGGGAGGGGGGGTTGCGGTTCACTTACGGGGCCTCCTCCTCCTCCTCTTCCAGGCTCATTCCTGACCCTGGTGTCCAGCTGATGCTTCTGGACTTCTCCTCCCGAGCTCTGCCCCACCAACCTGCTGGGGTGGGTGATTTGGGAAACGACCCGCCCGTCCTGCCATCCGGCCCGGGGGAGCCTCCGCT